TATTATATAATCCAATATGCACGTTTTACAGTTTTACAGACTTAAAGATTGTAGTAACTATTGAGTGTACGAATACCGAATGCATAACACAATAAGGTATATTTTGCTTTTATGTTTTAACAAAATTGGTTGTACCTATTACTTTAAAAAATATAATAAGTATTGCTATTCATAGTAAAAAAATACATAAGTTTTCCTTTTTCGAAATATTTATCATTGTAATTTAGTATAGTGATTTTAATAATCAAATATGTGCATCAGTTGAAGTATATGAGTTGACATTTTCAAATTTTCAAAAATACAAAACTTTCGTCTTGCATATTGTTATTCGATTTACGTTCATCAATTTTCCGAAATTATATTCGGTAATACCGTAGAAAAATTTGTTTCTGCGGAACACTAAAACACGGTGAAATAATCGTACTTTTATGACATGGTAGTATTAATGTCATACGTATTGTCTATAATTAGGTTACCTAATCCTAACCTAATTTAGRTAGGTACCATGATATTCTTTAAGTCATATCCATATTACAGTTTATTCCAAAGGTCCATAAATAAAATACATTTAAATAATGTATAATATAGTTTTAAAAAGCATTATAGGCACCTACTATACTTCATTCCATATCGATAATTATCTAAAAAATGGTCCCCTATATAAAACCATAAACCTAAATCGTTATATTTTCCTGATATATTATGCAAGTTGTAGTTTATTATTAAGGAAGTTTTACGTCTGCCTACTGCAACTATGCAATGATAAAGAGTTTAATAAARATGAACCAGTATTTATAAATTTGATTTATTTGTCACCTTATGCACTTTTCATTTTTTTTTTTTTTTGCCACAATGGAATAATGTTACAAATAAAATATGAAAATTGGTGAATATTTTCATTCAAATTATACTCGAATGCAGACTTTCCCCCAAAAATTATGGTTATGTATATTTACTCGTGCAATGTTTCAAAAATATGTTTACGTCTATACGAGTATATTATAGAGTTAAATGACCTGTATGAAAAACGAAAGGACGCGGCGTCGTGGAGAGGGTAATTACCTGTCGATTTGCATAGTTTTTATGTGAATGTGTAATTAGGTGCAGTCATTGTTGATACATGTTGCATGATTAATAACGTTATTAGAATGTCATATTACGATGCTATTCGCGTGGATAATACATCGTCGTATATAATCGATAGTCGATGATATACTAACTTCATCTGTTACTAGCAATAGTTATTAGTTACTATTGTAATTTTATTAAAAATAAAACTTAAACGCGTAATTTTATTGATATCTCGTATTTATCTGCTTGGTTTTTTTGAGTAAGTAGGTACATATTTTAACTTTAAAACTAGAATTTTTGCCTCCATTTTTCAGTGTTTCTTAATATGTGGGATGTGCGTGCACGTGGTTCTAAATTATTGAAAATCTAATGGTAAAATTATTTTAATGTAATGAGATTATGACTTTCAGAATAACTGCTGGCTTGTAGTAGTAACATATAGACTTATAGTATAGTATAAAATATGATACAATTTTAAATTATAAGTCTATGAGTAGTACCGTTTTTTGAATTCGCCGATTTCAATGTTACAACGTCAATATTATACGTAGTTCGTGTGAACAGGGTAAAAAAATACCAACCACGTTATGAGGAGAAACTCTCGGTCATGAAATGTCGTCGTTAAAATTTTCAAAACTCCCCGGGGATTCCCGAACTCTAATCGTCAGACATGTATTATATGAACCCCGCYGGGCGCCGCATATGCGTTTGAATAGTATATAGTAACAATTTACGCAGACCGATATAAT